AAAAAAAAAAAAAAAAAAAAAAAGAAATTGAGTATGGGATGCAAATTAAATTAGGTATGGTGCGCAATAAGTGCAATAAGGAGTGGAACCATAGCCTGGAACCCAGGTTAGGGTGCAGGCTGGTTTCATCCTGGGGTGGGGTGCGAAAATTGAGAATGCGGAACTAAATTCCTATTTCAATGACAATAGTCATGTTAACATAATTAGTGGAACTTATTTGCTGCCATAGAGGTGTATTAAACAAGCCTTTGAAATCCCTACATTTTCATATTACAGATCAGATTACACTGTAGCACCTCTATGTGGTGGGACTTAAAATTTATAAAGATGATTGATATCCCAAGTAAGAATAAAGACGATTTTAGCAAAACCTAGAAGGAAGATGAGTTTGTACGTGGTGAATGATTGACATGCAAGCTGCGGGGAAAACACTAAAATTCCTCCGCAAAAAGCTTATATAGTTAAAAGTCTATTAATGTATGATGACGAATTAGAGGTGGTCCTAGTTAGAAACTGCTCTGATTGGTTAAGGAGGTTTGGTAGATGGATTTCTGGAATGGAATTTCTTTTTATGGACGATAAAACAATATCTCAGGCCTAGATTTTACATTAACATTTGCCTAGGTCATATGTAACTGCTCTGGCATGATTCAAGTTAATGTCCAATTATTATAGCTCTGTATCCTGCAAACCGGGAGGAATATTCCTCCCAAATCCCCAAGCAAATCTCGCACGCGGGACTCTTTCTTCCAGCAACAAACAGATAATAATCTACGCTCACCTAACAACTGACCAATCATAAACAATGATTTCAACGTTTTGAAAACCGCAGTACGTATCGCGTAGAAGTTAAAAGTTACTGATAAATAGTGCTACACCTTTGTGTGGGTCCTACTTTGGTAAACTTTTAGTATGTTGTTTTAAACACATAATTAAGTAATAATTTTGGATCAATTTTGTCCACGGGAAACCATATTTTTGGTAGACTGTTAGAATTTTCATGCAATCTTTGCACTGTTTAGCTGTCCTCGACAAAATCAGGAACGCGCTCCCCGATTCAACAGCGTGGCCAGGAGTCGGCAATAGCGTGTAGCGATTTTGATGGAAACAGGCTTGACCGAAAGCTGTTTCGGTGACGTGTGAAGTGGCGATTTTATGGAAACCATTAAGCTTGAGAGTTGACACTCAGACGTCACCAACTCGAACAGGGCGCTTGCCATATGACTAGACTTGACCTAAAGCTGTATGGTTGACAGCGTGTGACAGTGATTGTATTTAAACCAAGCTTGAGAGTTGGCTTTCAGACGTCACCGACTCAAAGCGAGCGCCTACGATGACCTATTGAGTATTTCAGGCAGTATTGTAGACAAACCATAATACTGCAGGTGTTTTGGTTATACGAAAGAGAGGCGTGAAATATTTGGTTTATAGCCACAGACCAAGCCTACTACTACTAGAATAGTAGTTGCTAGGCCTTTAACAGCGATATAAGTAATATTACTTACATAGACTAGGCTAGGCCTAGGCCTCTATCAAGATCAGGTTTAACCCGTGGAATTATATGAACCAAGATATTCTTACCAAAGTACACTTACAGTACTATACTTCGCTACATGAACTGCAGCATAGTCGTACTTTATTTTTTTCTCACGGTACGGTTCTGGGTATTTTTAACCCACTGTTCATATTTTGCCTCCAACAGAAGGCTGCCCTCAATGATCATACGTTTAAATGGTTGAAATTGGTAAAACTACCATTGAAGTACATAAACTACTTTAACCCATGCTTTAACCTGACTTTTAAACTTCCTAGAAATTACAGAGGGCGACAGACAAGAATTTTTGAATTACATACATCCTACCAAGTTCCTACGTCTGTATGGTTAGTGTAAGGCGTGACCACTGCTTGGGTATTTACCCAAGATCTTGGGTATTTTGACTTGGTCTTGGGTTCTTGGGTATTTTGTTCAAATCCTTGGGTATTTTATTTTTAGTAAGAAAATTAAATATTTTTGTCATAGAGGAAGAATTAAGAAGTATATTTCAGTCCATTCAAGTAAGCAAAACTCAACGAAGTGCACATAACATTGTTAATTGACTGTTAATTGCTATAAACATGGTTCAGAATTATTTATGCATTACATAATAAAACTTGGATCACTGATCAACTGATAACACTGGCCGACTGAGGGCGTATTTTTCTATCCGTATTATCACCTTATGAATATTAATTTTAATAATTAACAATAAAAAAATTGGTTTATAAATTGAACTAAAATCGAAACTATACATGCGAAAAACACGTATTTTTCTAATTTTAAAGCATTTTCAGGAAGCTTGTGTAATTCTGGGCAATTTTTGCTGAATCTTGTGTAATTTCGACCCAGTCATTGGGTAGGCCTATATCAAAACTTGTGTTTCTTTGCTCTATGCGCTGATCACCTTCATGATCATTGCTGTCACGTAACACCGCTGCCATGGTTACTGCAGGGAGTTAAGGGCCTTTACAGTAGATGTTACGCCACTGAATAATACATAAAATTATATAGAACAGACTTGCACATACCTGAACATGATCAGAAAGAATCATGCACTGAAACACAATTCTAAATTGATGAAAATTGTTTGGTAACGTTTCTTACCATCAAAAAGATTTTATAGCATGTTGTTTAACCCTTTTGTTTATCCAGACCGTAGTCCCATAGATGAAGAAATCAAGGCTTTTCCATGTCAGAAACTGAAAAGAAGGATACACAACATATTGAAGCAAATTCTGAAATTATGGATCAAAAAGGTTAGTTGAATTGATTGATTTAACTGTCAATAATACAAATTGTTATAGGCCTATGTCATCGTAAATAAATGTTTATAAAGAAATGTGTGTGTCTTCAATGTGTTATTTATTCATTTTAACATTGTATACATTGTATTTAAAACCCTATTTTTTCACAAAGTTTTTCATTACACACAGGGTAATATATACTCTCAATTAAGCGCCGCAACGCTTATTTTAGAGAAACGCTTACCGAAAAAAAATCCTGTTTTGTGCGGCGCTAATTCGAGAGCTGCGCTTATTCGAGCATTTACGATACTTTAGTTAAAATGTTTAGGTTTTTATATTTTTAAATATTCTTTAATCTAAATTTGACTAGGATAAGATGTACATGATTTCTCTCAAATTTTAAACCATGATTGCAATTATTTTTGGTTAAGTTTTATAATTAAAATAAAAATAACTTCCTTTATATTTAATTGATCATTTTGTGTCAAGTTTTTTGAATGTTTGTTTATTTTAAAATTATTTTAATGTTAGTTAGACACGTTTTAGCATATTAGTGCAAAGTCGAATCTTGCTTTTGATTTGAAAAAATAAACTAGAATAAAAACATCTTATTATTTTGCAATTTGTTATGTAGGAGAGAACAGTATTTTCCACAGTTCTGAAGAAAGTCGAAATGAAGGCCATGGTTTTATGACGGATAATTTGCCAACACTGCAATCAAAACCACACCCTACAAATATCAGAGAAGAGAAATATTTGCCATATGAATGCGAACACTGTGGTCAGAATGTCAAGGACAAAAATGATTACTTAAATAGACATTTGAAGACACATGTAGGACGATACGAAGTTAAAGTATTGCTTCTGAAAACACTTGAATGTGAACATTGTGGAAAGAAGTTTAATCGTAAAGAATATTTGAAAAGTCATGTGGAGGTACACAGAGACGAGAAACTTTATGATTCGGAAGGTGAACATTGTGGAAGAAAGTTTAATAAAAAAAAAGCAATATGGAATTGCAGTTGAGTGTACATATAATGGTGTCTCCTTATGAATGTGAACAGTGTGGAAAGAAGTTTAGACAACAGATGGGTTTGAAAAACCACGCGAGGATACGCACTAAAGACAATCTTTATAAATGTGAACGGTTTGGTCAAAGCTGTTCTTTGAAAAAACATTTAAGGATGCATAGAAGAGAGACACCTTATGAATGTAAACTATGTGGCAAGAGATTTATTCAAAATGGTACTTTAAAAGCACAATGGGCTCATACTGAAAAGATGACTTATGATTGTGAACATTGTGCAAAGAAGTTTTACTGTAAAGAACATTTAGAAAATCATATGGCGATACACGCAGGAGAGACACACTATTTATGTAAACAGTGTGGAAAAATGTTTAATCAAAGTGATAGTTTAGAAACACATATGAGGGATCACGCAGGAGACGAACCTTACAAATGTAAACAATGTGGAAAGAAGTTTAGACAAAAGATGGCTTTAAAAAGCCATGTAAGGATACATACGGTAGAGAAACTTTATATATGTGAACATTGTGGAAAGAGTTTTGGTCAAAGTTGTACTTTGAAAAGACATTTAAGGATGAATAGAAAAGAGACACCTTATGAATGTGAACAATGTAGCAAGAAATTTAAGCATAGTTGTAAAATAGAAAAACATTTGGAGAAGCATAGAAAGAGAATTAGGAAGAGCTTCAATTTGAACAATGATATGACGGCACACACAGAAGAGACATCTTACCAATGTGAACATTGCGGAAAGAAGTTTAATCTAAAGTGTAATTTGAAAACGCATTTGAGAATTCATACCGGGGAGACATCTTATCAATGTGAACATTGTGGAAAGAAATTTAAGCAAAGTTGTCATTTGAAACAACATTTAAGAATTCACACCGGGAAGACACCTTATGAATGTGAACAATGCGGAAGGAAGTTTAGTCTAAAGGGTAATTTGGAAATGCATTTAAGGATTCACAACGAGAAGACATCTTATGAATGTGGACATTGCGGAAGGAACTTAAAGCAAAATGCTAATTTAAAAACGCATTTGAGGATTCACAACGGGGAGACACCTTATGAGTGTGAACATTGCGAAATGAAGTCTAAGCAAAATGCTAATTTAAAAATGCATTTGAGGATTCACAATGGGGAGACACCTTATGAATGTGAACATTGTGGAAAGAAATTTAAGCAAAGTTGTAATTTGAAAACACATTTATGGGCGCATAGAAATTACGAATGTAAACAGTGTGGAAAGAAGTTTAGAAAAAAGATTGGTTTGAAAAGCCATGCGAGGATACACACAGGAGAGAAACATTGTTTATGTAAACATTGTGGAAAGATGTTTAGTGAGAGTGATAGTTTAGAAACACATATGATAGGAACACACAGAAGAAACACATTACGAGTGTAAACAATGTGGAAAAAAATTTAGGAAAAGTTGTAATTTGAAATATCATATGAAGGTACACTAAAAAAAGACACCTTATGGATGTGAACATTGCGGAAGGAAGTTTAACCTAAAGGGGAATTTCAAAACGCATTTGAGGATTCACAACAACGAGACATCTTATGAATGAGAACAGTGTGGAAAGAAATTTAAGGAAAGTTTTAAAATGGAAAAACATTTGGAGACGCATAGAAAGAGAATTAAGAAGAGTTCTAATTTGAAAAATGATACAGTGTGACAGCACACACAGAAGAGAATCATACCAACGTGAACATTGCGGAAAGAAGTTTATTCTAAGGATAATCTGAAAACACATTTGAAGATTCACAACGAGGAGACATCTTCTGAATGTGAACAGTGTGGAAAGAAATTTAAGGACATTTGTCATTTGAAACATTTCAGGAGGAGACATCTCATCAATGTGAACATTGCGGAAGGAAGTTTAATGTAAAGGGTAGTTTGAAAATGCATTTGAGAATTCATACCGGGGAGACACAATTAAACAATTTAACAATTGATTAAATAAATTTAACCAAAGTTATTATTAGAAACAACATTTAAGAATTCACAATGGGGAGACACCTTATGAATGTGAACATTGCGGGAGGAAGTTTAGACTAAATGGTAATTTGGAAAACGCATTTGAGGACTTACAACGGGGAGACACCTTATGAATGTGAACAGTGTGGAAATAAATTTAAAAGAAGTAGTAATTTGAAAAGACATTTGGAGCAAATACAAAGAGAATTAAGAAGAGTTTTAATTTGAAATATGATATGACGGCACACAGAGAAGACTTATGAATGTGAACATTGTGGAAGGAAGTTTAAACGAAATGCTAATTTAAAAACGCATTTGAGGATTTACAATGGAGAGACACCTTATGAATGTGGACATTGTGAAAATAAATTTAAGCAAAGTTGTCATTTGAAACAACATTTAAGAATTCACAACGGGAAGACACCTTATGAATGTGAACAGTGTGGAAAGAAATGTAATCAAAGTGGTAATTTAAAAGTCATTTGAAAATGAAACATGAAAAGTGAGACCTTATGATATGAACATTGTGAAAAGAAATTTAAACTAGCTTTAAAATTTAGTTAAACTGGTAGTAACCCAAGGTTATAAATATAGGGTCTGTGGTTATAAAGACAGGAGCAGAAGCAAGAATCTCCTAGAAAACAACCCATTTCAGGCAAATTTGTGTTTGCAGGTGTTTACTACTTTATAATCAATTGTCCCACATAAATCAGTGCCAGTCGTTTTCAACTGACTTGTTCTAAATTTGGTCCCCTGCAGTACAGAGACCTTTAAATGAATGTGGAACATTGTAAAAAGAAGTTTGTTTTTGTTGAAAACACTTAAAGAGGGGGAGAAAAATTCGAAATATGTTTACACAAAGGATATACACACTATATGAATGAGTAGGAACATTTTGGAAAACACTGAAAACCTTTTGAATGTGAGTATTTTAAGAGTAAATGTAAACAAGGGAATTCAACAAAAGGATGCACATCTCGGGACATCAAAGGTTAACCAAAGAGTATGAAACTGCAAGAGGTCCGACTGCCCTGATTTTGAATGCACGCAATAGAACATCAAAAAAGTACTGCAACCAAATAGGGGGCTCCCTAATTTGAATTGAAATAGAGTTCGCTCGAAATCGGCTTTTGGATACATGCCCCTTTGTGGCAGTAGTTTTTGAAATAGGAATGTGTTCCAATAAAACCGCATCAGTCTAACCTCGAATAAAGCCGGCTTTATCACCTACACGGTCTTACTTAAAGCCACTCTGCTAAGACCATTGCTATAAAATGGTCTTCGCTGAGACCGCTTTGAGTATTGAAACGCAAAGCACTCCCTGGTAACATAAAACTGAGGGCGCTGGTACTCCTGCTCAAACATACATATTTATCAAAATGAACGTAAATAAATGTAGACCGGTTTTTACAGAAGCTGAGAAGCTTGCGGAATATTCGTTGTTCGATTCTTTGATGATCTAGGCCTAGTCTGGTACCTGTAACACCATGATGAAAAAGATTTAAGACCATTTTAATCTATCCTCCGCAGTGGCGTAGAAAAGTATTTTTCATTAACTGTGCAATTTTTAGAGGAAATTGGACCATTTTAACAAGAAATGCGATTTGAGGTTTTTAGGCACTAGGGGGATTTTACTGGGCTGACCGGGCTGTGGGTAATAAGAGAAAAGAAAGAGGGGAGAAGGAGTGAAAGAGAAAGGAGTGGAAAAGAAAAGGAAAGGAAAAGAAAAAAGAAAAATAAAGACAAGAATAAAAAGAATAATATAATAATATCAAATTTGTAAGATACTGTGCATGTATAAAAAAATAAGAATTGTGTATATACATTGGAATGACAATAAAGGTGGGAAACACCCACAAAAGACAAAAAAAAAAATAATGACCAGACTCACAACACCCTGCAACCCCTTCTCCACTTTAAAAACTGTCATAACTCCTTGATCTATGCTGCCCGATGGCGTAACCGCCGGGAGACAAGGGGAAAATAATTATCTTTGAAAAATCTTTCTCTTATTACCCACAGCCCGGTCAGCCTTTATATCCCCTGAAAGTGCCTAAAAACCTCAAATCGCATTTCTTGTTAAAATGGTCCAATTTCCTCTAAAAATTGCACAGTTTAGGGAGTTTTGATTAATTCCGACGAAATTAGAATTAAAAACACCGGGGGACAAGGGGAAATATCCATCTTTGTAAAATCTTTCCCCACCCCTTGATAAATGCATCCTCTGAAAGTGCCTAAAATTCTCAAATTCTTCTCGCGCATTTCTTGTTACGGTAGGCCAATTTCCTCTATAAATTGCACATTTTAGGGAGATTTCATCAATTCCGACGAAATTAGAATTAAAAACACGCGCGCGTTTTATGGTTTTTTAGGTTTATCCTTTTAAGTTATTTAAACACATAATAGTCCCAAGCTCAAGAATGAAAAATTTAAGATAGATCGTTAACCTAGAAGAAGGGCCTCAATGTGTATTGATGGTGAAAGAATATGTTTGTAATAAATAAAACCATGATGAAAATGCTTATATTTAGTTTCAAACACAAGTGTGTGGCCTATATTATAAATAAGATAAGCCCAATGTCGTATTGTTTTCTATATGGGGAGTGGGGTGCGGTGGGTATGATAAATTACTAACCAGGAAAATAAATACCCCTTGACCCAAGACCCCTGTTACGCGCCTGGTATTAGCGCCAATGTTTGCCCTTGTGCGGACACTGGATGTGCCCCCCCCCCCTCCTCCGAAGCTGGAAACCTTGTTTTTGCAAAATAAATTGATGCAATTTGCTATTTTAGGCCTAATCAATAAATTCCTCATCAACCGATATAACCTTAAACATTCTTGGAATTGTGGAACAGTGTAAAAATGTGGCTTGCTTTGCAAGCACATCTAACATCTAATGAAAGAAGAGCTAGATTGGTACGGTACCAGATAAAAATGTTGTTATCAACATTAATACATTATGCTAATGTTCATGTTTGTAAGTGCATAAGACATTGAAAATTATTTCTGGGACAGTCTTTTGACATGTGTAAAGCTCCATTTTATCCCATACATAGTCAAAATATTGGGGGGGTTGATACAATGGACCATCCCCCCTTGTCAAATATTGGGGGAATCTATCCCCCCGGGATCTACGCCTATGATCCTCCGAGTAGGCTTTTAAATTTAAGATGGCTAACTGGTTAGACCGCGATAGCAATAGTCTGTAATCATAGACCAGTGAGGACGTCACGATTATTGCCGACTAAGACCCCCCTAAAGACCGCTTATATAGCAATCCGTCCCTGATTGTTAAAAAACCATAGCAACCAAACCATAATAAACCATCAGCCTGTGACAAATTACCAGACCTGTGTCAGTTGCCATGATAATCACGCGCTGTGCAGTGGTTACAAAGGCCTAATGAGTTTTTTTCATTAACATAGACTAAAATTATATAATTGTTATTTAAACATTAATTTTACCAATGAGCTGGTGTCCGATGGTTGATGAGACTCACTTCATATAAAAAATAAATAAAATTTTCAGTATCTACTCAAATATTGGTTGTGCACCTTAGTCTAACATTGTCAAAATGACAGTTTAATGTTACATAAGAACATGAATTTTTATAATCGTAAATTGTCACTTACTATAACTTCATTTTGTTGGTCAATTTTTATGAATCAAATTGTAGGTTATGGCTAATTGTAGGCTCGTGGTCAAAAGAAATAAGATGTAACAGACATTGCGAAGTACCCAAAATTAATAAAATAGTGACTAACACCATAAAACGTATGGCACGCATAGACTAATAATTGACGGCTTTACTCACAACTAGCATCAGATTGTCATGCCACAGTAAAGGACGCTATGTTCGCGAGCGGAGATGTGCGTCCTGTTGTTGAATTGCCTTGATGTAAACCAATATAGGTACCCATTTCAATTTAAAGAATTAACTCTTAATGAATTAACATAGAATATAATTGTGTTCATTAGCATAATTTACTTAAACAATGTCCAAGTTCTCCATTTAACATAATGACCTTGTCTTTGTTATTTGACTATAATATTGGAGATTTCCTCCCAGCTTCTCTGAAAAATACAGGGGCAGATCGAGGGGGTGGGCTAACATCAGGTCATCTATTAACCAGTAAAAATGACATGAAAAATAGCGTTAAAAAAGTCCATTTATTTGTAAATCAAGAAAGTTATTTGATCAGAATTGATATGGTAATTTTGACAAAAGTTCAGACGGCACCTAAATGGATATACCACTAATGGATAGGCTGTTTATTTTTATTTTATAGTAATTGTAATAAAAGCAATTGTTTTGATGGCATTTTACTAGAAGAATTTGTTTATGAATATTTTTATCTTTTATTCTGAAATTTGAAGTGGCATGTTTTTAGTACAGTATGTATTTATTAATATAACAAATCTC